GTGTTATTTTTATTATATATTCGTAAAGAATCCAATTATGCATAAGTCTTTGTAAGTTTTCCCTAGTATAATTTACATCAACCCTAAATCTTTGTGATATTTCTTCCAAACAGTAATGTGCAAGATACATTTTTGATTTATAGTATAAAACTCAAAATAAAGTAATAGAAATTCAATAATTTTTTTTAAAAAAGGTAATGCACCACAAAAAAGAGTAAGCAGAAGTGTTGTATGAGGTTTTGTCCTTATCCAACGAGGTTGATGAAATATTCCTCCCTATCCTCATAAACACATTGAAAAAAGAGAGAATCTAAAACTGCATAGAATTTCTCTTGTAAGATCAAAACAAATTCCTTTAGAAATAGAAAAATCAAAGGTAGAAAACTAATCTCTGCTTGATAAAGAATAGACTCTCAATGGAGAGAAGAACATTAAGATAATAACGGATGTCCTCAAAAATGTTAGGGATCATGACTTTAATACACAGAATTACTCCATGGATGATTATGAAGAATTTAAAAAGGATCTAATCACAAAAATATCATTGAATAAGAAGATAATAGAATTCCTAAAATTTTTAGTTCATCTAACTGCTTTAGATGAGACCTATATTTGTTGTGGATCAAATTCTCTTCATTTGCTAGTTTAAATGAAAGTGGATTTGAGGGAATAAAGTTTTGAGAATATTAGGATAAGAAATACATCTTTAGTTGGTGGAAATTTTGTAAGATGCATATTCAATGGATCAGAATTTCACAATGTCGATATTAGTGGAATAAATTTGAATCAAGCGTTAATGTTTAATTGTAATTGGAAGAATATCAAAATACATGAGTTAAATAAACTGGATGGTCATTTTGAAAGAGTTAATTAGGTATGCTTTTCTTCAGATGGTAAATCAATAGCTTCTTGTAGTGATGACAATTCGATTATATTGTGGGATGCTAAGACAGGAAAAATAAAATCTAGAATCAATTACAAGGATGTAGGAAAATCAGTATGCTTCTCACATAATACAAGCACATTAGCCTTCAGCAGTGGAAGATTTGTGTATTTATGGAATCTGAAAACAGGAAAATAATAAGCCAAATTAGATGGTCATGAATATTCAGTTAATTCAATTTGTTACTCTCCTGATGGTACTACATTAGCATCTGGTAGTGATGATAAGTCTATCCGTTTATGGGATGTTAAGACCGGATAATAAAAAGCCAAATTAGATGGTCATTCAT